TATAGAATATTCACTGTCTGATCTAGTAATGCATTTTGAAAAAAACTACATTAGAAGACTACATTTCATCAATTTAGTCTCTAACGTTCATCAAATTCGTTCCTTTACAAATCATATTTACAATGTCAATGCACAGTTCAAGAAATTTGTTTGATATGAAATGAAAAGTTCACATTCAAATAACTTTAGTAATGAGATCCTCACACACCTACTCTGGCTATGACTCTTGTTGCAGCTGCAACAAATTACCCATCTTATGCAATACTGTATGAACTTAGTTTTTTTTCATGGTCATTGATAAAATAGTTATTTTTCGATGCACAACTCTACCCTGTCCCAGTAAGAACAAATATTCGCGCATCCCAAAAATTAGCACATCTCAAAATTAGTTCGGAGTTGTTAGAATCTGCACATTTCATCGAAATCTTCATCGTGTTCTTGAATTTTATCAGTTAGAACTTCAAACTCGTGCCATTTATATGGTTTCTTGATACGATCTTTTTTTTGCACCCACATAGAAATATATCCCCATACTTGCATGCCTTAATTCCTCACCATTTCCATTTAATTTAGCTTTTAGGGTTTCATTGTTCGTCACAGATTGGTGAAATTATTGTTGTTGTTCTTGGTTAATTAGTGAATATGGTGAATGTTCATGAACACGAGAGAGAACGAGGGAAGAGAGGAAGAAAAAATGAGTTTGAAGTAAGAGCAATGTATAATCAAGTATAACACATTATTTTGAAGAAGAAGAATAATAGTGAAGAATTAAGAAAAAGATGAAGGTGAACAAGACTAGTTTTTTCTCCTATTTTTATTTTATTTTATATAAATGTTATTAATTATGTGACATATAAAATGACATCCACCTTGATAAAATAAAAGTACACGTATAATTTCAGATTCCACATCAGAGCCACGTAGATTATTCCGTTGACTTTAACTAATAGAGTAAACGAAAAGGACTAACGTGACACTATTTGAATAATTAAACAGAAAAGGACTTTAACTAATATTTGCGCATCCCAAAAATTAGCACATCTCAAAAATTAGTTCGGAGTCGTTAGAATCCGCATATTCCATCAGAATCTTCATCGTATTCTAGAGCTTTATCAGTTAGAACTTCAATCTCGCGCCATTTCCATGGTTTCTTGATACGATCTTGTTTATGCACCCACACATAATCATATCCCCATACTTACATGCCTTAATTCCTCACCATTTCCATTTAATTTAACTTTTAGGGTTTCATTGTTCTTCACAAATTGGTGAAATTGTTGTTGTTGTTCTTGGTTGATTAGTGAATATGATGAATGTTCATGAACATGAGAGAGAATGAGGGAAGAGAGAAGGAAATAATGAGTTTGAAGTAAGAGCAGTGTATAATCAAGTATAACACATTGTTTTGAAGAAGAACAACAACAGTGAAGAATGAAGAAAAAGATGAAGGTGAACAAGACTAGTTTTTTTTCTTCTTCTGAAATTTGCTGTTTTTATTTTATTTTATATAAATGTTATTAATTTTGTGGCATATAAAATGACATCCACCTTGACAAAATAAAAGTACACGTGTCATTTTAGATTCTACATTAGAGCCACATAAATTATTCCGTTGACTTTAACTAATAGAGTAAACAAAAAAAACTAACGTGACACTATTTGAATAATTAAAGAAAACTTAAAATCTCTTAGAAAACTCGTTTACCATTTGAGCTCAAACCAAATTCTTAGTTATCAACTTAGGAAAGAGACTTTAACATATTGACAATGCATTCAAGGCATATTAATAGACATTAATTGGGGTTGCTCATATAAGGGAATGACCTTGATGTCCACTCATTTGTCTTGCTTAAATAAGGGAACAATAACCTTGGTGACTTTGTATTGTATTACTTAATCGCACACACACACACACACATATATATATATATATATATATATATATATATATATATATATATATATATATATATATATATATATATATATATATATATATATATATATATATATATATATATATATATATATATATATATATATATATATATATATATATATATATATATATATATATATATATATATATATATATATATATATATATATATATATATATATCAGACAATTCATTATAATTTTGAAACAAAATGTTTAACTTTTCTAAGTGAATTATTATTATTTTCTTATTTATAAATCATATGGATAAACATTCTATGTATCTAATAAACACATGAGTTGTGAATAACTTAATATGCTTAGTTAATTTTCAACATTTTCTTTAATATATTCTCCCATATATCCGGCAAACAAATAGTCTCCCATAGCATATTTTATAAAATAATATATTATTTGCATAAAAATAATAATATTTGAACACAGTCAAAATATATGTTTAATTTTATATGAGCCTTAAATACTTGAAAGTTGACTCAATTATGCATTAAAAAATAATTAATCACATTAAGAAATGATCATCATATTATTTCTTAATACAAAAAAGGCAAAATAAATATGAATATTAAGAAAAAATAGTTAAAACTGCATCACATAATATATTCCATGAATATTTCAAGAAAAATAATGTTATTGCTTAATAGTGATACCACTTATGTATAATTACTTTCTATTATCTTTGTTAAAAAGTCAAATGTATCTGATATAAATTTAAAGAGAATATAATTTATTTGATTATTTATATTTTTATAATAAATATATAAATAATATAAAATATTTAAATTTATTAAATAGCTAATGTATTTGGTGTATATATAGATAAATATATTAATTGTTCAATAAATATAATAATCAATTTTATTTTTAATAGTGACTAGTATTTAATATTGAAATTAGTTTTTTTTTGTCAAAATATTAATTCTTATATATTTTTTTGTGCTAAATCACAAAAAATAATTTTAATATTAAAATTGGCTTAAACATATACTATTGAGACTTAATAATAGTGTTTATCTCTAAAAAAAAATATAAATAAAAATAATATTTAAAAAATTGATGTATCTGATTTTAATTTTTATTCAGATACATCGTCATTTTATATACTATTTTTTATTATATATAAAATATAAATTAAAAATGGATTTTAAAAATTAATGCATTTGATTTTAATTTTTAACAAGATACATTATCATTTTATATATGTATATTAGTCACGACATTTCTTAATTTAATTTAATATTTTACTTTGATCTTTTAATTAAATTTTTTTATATATTGATCTCTTAAAAATTGTTATGTTATGTATAAAGGTTTTCACCGTTAACTTTTTTGAAAAAACATTAACTTTGACTACCTAGCGTGTGATATGTAGGCATTAGTTAATAAATTAAGTCACCTTATATATTTAAAAAATGATATTTTAAAGAAGATTTGTTTTTGGAGGTTAAAAACTCAAGTAAAATATTAATTATGTGTTACAAAAAGAAAACAATTCTTTTATAAAAATTTCAAAATTTAGATAAACAATTAAAAAATAAAGAGAAAAAGAATTAGGTCAAAATAAATATTAACTGTTTTTAAGAAAAAATAACAGCAAAGACCATATCAGATAACTAAATTATTTTTAACATACTACTTTATAATGTTTTTTAATTAAAAGAATAAAGCAAAATGATAAATTAAATTAATAAATCAAATAATGCATTAAATATTTTATATATTAATTTTTATTATAATTTAAAAATATTTAAAAATTAATGTATCCAATTTTAATTTTTAACCAAATGCATCGTCATTTTATGCACTAGTATTTTTTATTATATTTTATTATTGAGTATATATAATTCATGTTATAACGGGATAATTTGTCGATTTCGGTCGGTTTCGAGTCCAAAACTTAAATCTAACGTAAATTATAGTTTTATTTTTATGGCCTAATTTTGGCTGATAAAATTTGATTTTCGTCGGATTCGGTTAAGTCAGTTTGATGGTTTAATCGGATGATTTAGTCGGTTTAATATTTATTAGAACAAATCTATAAAAATATATATTTTTTAATTTTTTTTAAAAAATATCAAATCTTTAAAATAGAACTATTTTTTTAATTTAAAAAAAAAATTATCACGGGATGATATTTTCAATATTATTTGACAGTAATTTTGATCATTATCATATTTTAAACCATAGACAAAATAATATTCAAAATTTTATATTGCATGTTTTGTATTTTTTGTGAGTACATAATACCATCATTAAATTATAAAAATAATAATATCTTGCAACATTATGAATCTCATTTTTATAGGGAATCAATGTTATATAAATAAAAAGAAATAAAATATATATTAATTAAGTATGATTGGTTTCGTCGAATTTAAAATAAACATTTGAGTCCGACCAAAGCAATCATATATTATCTAAGTTAAGCAATCGAATCAACCCGACTCGATCTATTTATTCAAAAGAAACATTAAATAGATCGATTTTAATCGGTCGATTTAAATTTATCAATCTCTAAATTAGTGAGTAAAATGTGTAGATATTATAAATCTTTTGAATATTACATAGTGTAATAAAAATATTTCCAGATACATTAGTAAGCAAGCACTAAAAACTAACAAAAACCAAAAGAAAAAAACTTTCTAAATTTAAATCCAAATAACTTAAAAAAAACATTCGGTTTAATAAATTGAGGATTGTGAGTTGAATTAGATTTTATAGATTAGATGATTTAAAAATAAAAAAAAAATCTCTGTCTAGTTGACCTGATTAGTACTAGTATTTGGAAATTACGGAGACAAATATCTCTTAATCAAATAGATTTTGCTAACATCTTCTCTTTAATTTCGCATTTGACACCATTAATACATTTTCCCAATTATCACATGTTTTATTAATTTATTCCTAAGGTCAAATCTGCTTCAACTAAACGAGAAACGAAAAGCTGAACTATTAAACATTTTTAAATTTAAACTACAGCTTCACCATCTTCAAAGCTTTCTTCATTAATTTCTATCTCTTCGTTATTGAATGTGAGAGAAAAAATGAAGCTCTCGACATTGTTGCAGAACCGCCGGAGCAACAGCATCAAGGACTCGCCGGCGTTTGAATCCTCCGGTGAAGTTACCGGAAAATCTCCATTAAGCTCTTTCTGGCTCTTCCTCCATGCCGCGTTCTGTGTTGTTAGTCTCTCGCTAGGATTTCGCCTCTCCCGTGTTTTCTTCTTGTTCCTGTTCTCCGCTTCCTCTATTAGTTTCTATACTGTTCCGTCCGGCGGCGGTGAAATCTCCGTTCCGCTTCGTGTTCATTCCTCCGTTACGGTGAATCCGAGTGCTAATGTGGAGAATCCTGTGAAAAAGTTAGCTCTTATTGGTGCCTCCGCTGGTAGCCGTGTGGTAGTTGGTCGGCACGGGATCCGAGTCCGATCGTGGCCGCATCCGAATCCGAATGAGGTGATGAAGGCTCACCGGATAATTGAGAGAGTTCAAACGGAGCAGAAAGTGCTGTTCGGAGTGAAAAACCCTAGGACGGTTATTGCAGTGACGCCGACTTATGTCCGGACGTTCCAGAAGCTTCACTTGATCGGCGTGATGCACTCGCTGATGCTTGTGCCGTATGATCTGGTGTGGATTGTAGTGGAGGCCAGAGGTGTTACAAATGAGACTGCTTCCATCATTGCCAATTCAGGACTCAGAACAATCCACATTGGCTTCAATCAACGGATTCCGATTACCTGGGATGCTAGGCATAAATTGGAGGCTCGAATGCGACTTCATGCTTTAAGGTATATAGCAATTTTGAGGATATTGTTATGATTTATTTCTTTGTTAACGTTATAGCATGATCTGAAAATTTAGTCAGTTGATAGGTAAAATATTTGATTATTTGCAATTTGGTGGAACAGAATTGTGAGAAAAGAGAAGCTGGATGGGATTGTTATGTTTGCTGATGATAGCAATATGCATAGTATGGAGTTATTCGATGAAATTCAGAGTGTGAAATGGATAGGGGCAGTTCCGGTTGGAATACTTGTTCAATCTGATACGGATGGATCTTCAACCTCACACGGCAAGGAGGAGACCCTACCAATGCCAGTACAGGGTCCTGCTTGTAATGCGACAAATCATTTGGTTGGGCTGCATACCTATGATTCGTTAAAATATGCAAGGAGAAATGCAATTTACGTAGGTGACAGGGCGCCTGTTCTACCTAGAAAGCTTGAATGGTCTGGGTTTGTTTTGAGTTCCAGGTTGCTTTGGAAGGATTTTGATGATAAACCTGACTGGATTAAGGATATTAATGCGTTAGATGCAGTTGACGAGGACATCAATAATCCATTGTCTCTTCTTAAAGACATATCCGTGTTAGAACCACTTGGGAGTTGTGGACGCCACATTTTGCTTTGGTGGTTCCGGGTTGAAGCTCGCACAGACAGCAAATTCCCACCTCAGTGAGTCCTCTCTTAATTTATTGTATAGTTCTTAACTATGTTTGGTTATTATACAATATTCATTGAATCAGTAGGAAAATAGTATTCCAAGCTTTTGTGATTCTTTTTTATTATGCATATGGATTTTATATATGGAAATCTGTGTGGCATAACATTTATCTAAACCAAATGATGCCCCAACATGAAAGGAAGAAGGAAAATGCCAATGTATAGAACAACAGTTTAGATTCTAGAACTCATTCAAGAGATTTAACTGCGCTTGGTATCAGCAGGATAAACTATTTGGTGTTTCTGTGGTTAATAATAACATGAATCCCATCCTCTTGCTTGCATAGGTAAACTCATGCACCATGTTATATTAGATTCATGTTCTAACGATGGAAACGTTCCAGTTTATGGGTGTGCTTTGTTGCGTGTATGCAAACTTGAATTTTGATGATTTTGATTTTAGTTAAAAGTGAATTTGAAATGAGTAATTTATGTTTGGAAAGTTCTATCTCAGAAGTAAGTTTTTTTTGGAAACTTTTTATGAAATTATCAACCAAACACAAAAATTGTGTTTTTTCACTTTAGTCTAATGTGCCTTTAGGAGGAAAAACAATTTTTCTTGACCGTATCCAAACATGAAAAAGAAAAAAAAGAGAGAGGACAAACTCAAGTAAAACCCACATTACACACTCACAAACATGGGAGGGTATTTCAATTTTCTATTGTGTTTGATTGCATTGGCATTTTCTAAGGTTGAGAAATGGGTTTGGGATCCTACTTTTACCATTAGAGTAGTCTCAGAACTCTTGCTAGTCAGCCCATTGCTTTTGAGAAATGTCACTTAACCTCAAGAAATGTGAGCACACAGGGATGTGTCATAGGAGAGGGGTTGGTGTATTCTGAGATATTCAACAAACCTCTCAGATTTATATTAAGATTAATGGCTTAGATCAAAAGGTGTTAGGAACCCAAGGAAGAGAAGTTGAGAAGTTGATAAAGAACCAAAATAAATGGATAATTTTATTGAATGTGGATAATAAGAGAAAAATCTCTCCTCCAAGGTTTTTTTTCTCACAAATGAGCCATCCCTGTTTCCTCAGAGTTAACAAATCTAAATTCCCTATTATAGCTAAAGCGTCCATCTTTTGAACCTCTTTAACTATCTAATAGATTTAACTATTGATACTCTACTGTAACTGACTTGTCATGAACTATTGATATTTGGGAACCTCTAAGGAAATGCCGAATTAATGAGTTAATTGACATCCCTGCGTATTTTTTGGATTTGGTTCTTGATTAAGTCGTCTGATATTTCTTCTGGCTTCTTAAGTACTTCTCTACCAGCTACTTCCCTCTGAATCTGAAGTCATTTCCCAAATGTTTGGCATCTAATTTTCCCCCTTTTGCTTACGTAAAATTTTCTCTGAATGTTAATATGAATTTTATTTCATCAAAGTAGCTAAACATCATGGCTTTTCTAAAGCATTATATTTTTATACTTTGGGCTCTTACTAATCAAGTTCGTTTGTTTCTAAATCGTAATGTGTCATCCAGTAAATATAGTGTGTTTTTATCCTTTCAAATTTGTAAGTGTACTATTATTATAGTATGTTTTCTGTGCGGATTCTCCTGAGTGAGTCCTGACCATTGGATGTAATTTCTTGCAGATGGATAATTGACCCTCCTCTGGACATCACCGTCCCCTCAAAACACACTCCATGGCCAGATGCCACTCCTGCGATCCCAGCTAAAGAAAAGGTGCTAATTGGCACACAAGAGCAGACGACCAAGCATTCTACAAAGACTAGAACATCCAGATCTAGGCGTAGCCGAAGTAAGAGAAAGCATGACACCAAAGTGATCGGTATTCAAGTCTCTCCACATTCTAACCAAAACTGAGATGTCAATAAATGCAAATTAGGAGTATATACTGTGTTATGCATATAAGACTGCCTGTGCCGGCCGGCCGGCCCTCATTGACAAGAATCTGGTTAAACAGATAAAGAGGCTGATGTTCTTACTGGATACATACTAGTACACTGGGTTTTACCTTACATGGGCCCGCAAATGCTCATTTGAGTCTGATTCATCAAAAATTTTCATATAGATTGTTTCGCCCATTTTTGTTGAGGGTGATATATATTCCGTTCTGGGAAGCAATGACATATTTGTTCTTGCTGCATTTGCTTTATGGAAGGAAGCTTGTAAAAATTTTCATTAGTTGTAGTTGTAATACTGGTTCTTCTCAATAAGAATATATAGTTTTTTTATTTCTTCAGTTTCTCTTTAGTCTCTGCTTTGTTTCTCCGTAACAGGATATTTCATCTATCTATCTAGTATTAAGAAAACTTTTCCTCGAATGACCCTGTGACAAAGCTTACACATTTCCCGTCATTTTCTCCTCACATACATTTCCCGTTCATAAAACTTTTTTTTTTTATAAAACTGATTGTTTATTTTTATTATTATTTTTTACGAAAAAAAATATTGAAGAAGAATCCAAAGGATAAAAAAGGATGAGAGAAAAGGTCCAACCCACAAAAATTAACAAAACCTAAAAGATGATTTTTCTAGCCTATTGAGAACCATATCGGCAAAAACATCCATAGGAGTTTCATTCCACCAAGCAAAGCCTTGAAAGGATAATTCTAATGAAGCTAATTTGTCTCCACAATGGTTTTCTTCTCAAAAAACATGAGAAAAAAGAAAGCTCATGCTTTTGGTTTTGAGGATGCAGATCAGCCATCGGTTTTTGAGCTGTCATGGAACAATGTTGATGTTGTTAACTGCCAAAGAGACAAGTTTTGAGTCTGTTTCGATCTAGAGATTTCTCCAGTTGTTGTCAAAAGCAATTTTAATGGCTTTCATAACTCCATGAAATTTGGCCTGTAAAGCGAACAAATTGCCTATGTTTTCAGCAAAACAACCAATGAGGTTTGAGTTGTGATATCTGAAAATGTTGTCTGAAGCTGCAGGTCCTGGAGCGCCAAGAACAGTGTCATCTGTGTTGCATTTGATCTAGGAGGGAATGGGAGGTATCTTGAAAACTTCAATGATTCTGGGAGTTCTCGAAGGGTGAAGGTTAACTTTAAAAGTTTTCAGAATTCGAAAATCTCTGATGTTGTTCGTGGAAGTTTCTTTTGTGGTGTTGCCAGAAATGCATGTATTAGAAACTATTGAGTTCAAAGCGCTTTTCTAATGGATGAATTTGTTGTTGAATTTTTTTTCTAATTTTGACAGTGCCAAATGATGTTGAAAGTGTTAGTAATAGTAGCTAGGGTAGTGATCTGACTGTTTCGACCAAGAACGATGACAAATTTCTCAAATGTCAAGAAAAGAGAAAGTAAGGTTGCATTGGAAAGTGTTGGCTAACCAGTTTTAGAGGTGTTGTACAAAACTACAATTCAAGAATAGGTGCTCTGAGGTTTCAGAGAAGCAACCACATAATTCACATTTTGACGCACTCAGGTAAATTCCTATATTCCATAAAACTCCATCTATAGGAATTTTGTTTAGCAACAGTTTTCAAACAAATAGCAATTTTAAGGGAGGTATGCTACTGTTCCAAATTAGTTTAGCCCAGTCAATTTGTTGACCAGTAGGAGCCTAAAATAAATAAGCATCCTTGAGGCTAAGATCCCCTGCTAGTGAATGAATCCATCTAAGGTTATCCTCTCTCGATTCTTGAGGAATGCAGATATTTTTTATGATGTTAGATAATTCAGGGTATCTGTTCACTAAATCTTGAGCTATCGTTTAGGATAAAGTCATGAACTTTAGAGATAGGGGTGATATCAGACCAAACTGATGAAAACATGTGATACTTAATAGGTTGTTTGTTTCTGAGGACCCTGGTCCTTAGGAATTTTGGCCATTGGTTGTCAGATGTTGAAAGCTCTCAGCATAGTTTAAGATTTGCAACATCATTAATCCTAGAGGTAGACTTAATGCCAATACCTCCTTTTGAAGTAGGCTTGCAAACCTTGTGTCAAGAAACAGTGAGGAATTTCCTTTTGTATATGTCACCACTCTAAACAAAATTTCTCATGCAGCTTTTCAATTCTTTAATGAGACTAATAGGCCAAGAATAAATGAGAAGATTATAGATCAACATATCATGAATGATGCTCTTTATAATTTGCACTATACTAGCCATTAAGAGAAGAAAGGGTTTCCAAATTGCTAACTTGGCTTTAACTCTATCTACAATAGGTTGAAAGTGAATAGCTTTGGGATTTCCTTTAAAAATAGGGACCCCCAAATAGGATAAAGGGGGAGATCTCTCTGAGAATCCAAGTTGATGAGCCATCTGGTGTGAACTAGTGGAGGAAGAGCTAACATAAATGATAGATTTTTGTGGATTTACCTGCTGACCATAACATTAAGCATATCTAAAAAATAGATTTTTGAGAGCCTCAAATTTTGAGTTCATGGCCTTACGGAAAAACATTATGTCATCTGCATATAGAGCATGTGAGGGAAATTTAGAGCCTTTTGGTTCTCTGATGAGGTCTAAATCACCTTGATTAGCAAGTTTAGTAATGATCCTGTTAAACACATCTTCAGCCAGGCAAAATAAGAGAGGGTAGAGAGGGTCTCCTTGTCTAACTCCTCTATTACATCCAGAATAGCCTGCTTGAGATCCTTTGATGGAGATAGACAACTTTGTAGAGAGTAGGATAATATGAATCCAAGAGCAAATTTTTTAGAGAAACCAAATTTGTTCAACATTTTAAGTAAGAAATACCAATATAGGGTGCCAAATGTGTTAAAATAAGATTTGTTCCTGATATTTTCTCTTTAGTTTTGATGATAACAAAAATATTAAAAGAACAATGGTTTATTTGATGTGTGTTTTATTTATGTAGGTTCTTGTTCTTGCACATAAATAATCAGAATTTGTTTATCTACGATACACTTGGAGTTGCTTCAATGCTAGCTTCTGGTGGTAGAGTCTGAAGAATAATTTCTAGTGTGGCTCAACGCAGACTCTGAACTGAAGGTCTCAACATTCAGACGAGTTTCTACACTTAGTAATTATATATCAGCTTTTGGTACCATTCGGAGTTGGTGATAAAGCTGTGGACTATTCGTACTACTGAAAGCATGATATATTGTCTTATCAGCTTGTCAGCTCGAGTCTACAGTATTGCAAGGCTCAAGAAAAGCTGGTATGTTCTATGTATGTCTACTCACAACGAATCTATTAATACAAAATCTCTTGAAGACTCAAAGGTTAAACGTGTTACATAATGGATTCAGAAATCAGATGTGCATCCGCCTTCAACATCTCTTGTACTTTGGAGCAGAAGCAAAGACACTTGATCAAGTAACCTTCTCAACGGTTAGTTTCTGGAAAGGATATATATATGGCTGAAGATTCAAGCCTGAATTTTCAATAAGGATTCTTGTGTTGAAGGAGTAGCAAGATCAAGAAATTATCAACTCTATGTAATATGTAAATTTTCTGTTGTAGTTTGTAATTGTGAAAGCCTTAAGATTTCTTACCCATGTATATATTTAGAAATCTTAAGTGCTTTAGGTCTTTGTTATGGTGATCTCTCGTACCTCTGATGCTCGCATCATGTACACCTTATTCTCTATTCTAGTGAGTCTTCAGTAGTTTAGATTAAGTCTCCTACTATGTGCTAGAGAAAAAAATTCTTGTCTCATTGGGATTCAAGAAACCAGACTTGAGGCAAGATTCTTAAGCCACGTAAATCTCATTGCTTAAGTGCTTGAGTTGTGAAAGTATTATTCAGCCAGTCTGATTGAGCAAAAGTAAAGTCTTTGACATATGCTCTCAGCAAAGGTAAGTCTCAGCCTGAAGAAAAATGAGCAGGTAGCTTAGTCTGATGGTGTGAGCAATGGAAAGTCTTAGACATGTGCACTAAGCAAAGGAAAGTCTCAGCCAGAAGACAAATGAGCAGGTAGCTCAGTTAGATGGTGTGACCAAAGGGAAGTCTCAACTAGAAGGCAGATGAGCAGACAACTCAGTCTAATGGTGTGAGCAAGGGTAAGTCTTAGACATGCGCTCTAAATAAGGGAAGTCTCAGATAGTTGGTCTGAGCAGTTGTAAAAGTCTTATGCAGAAGTATAAGCGATTGTAATCATGAAGTGGTTATAATTAAAAGCTCTTGTGAGGCAAGGGGACTGGACTACTCTCAGTTAGGGGAGAAACCAGTATAAATCTTTTGTGTTTTTTGCTATTATTTTATTTACTTCTACTATATCTGCTGCCAACTGAATTAACTTAGAATCTGAACATCAGTTCTGATTCTGAGACTCTGATCAAAATCTAAATAATAAGAAAATGGGAAACACAATTCAACCCCCCTTCTTGTGCACTTTTCACACTTTCAATTGGTATTAGAGCATGGTATGTGCTTAACACTTAACAGTGGTGCAAATATTGATCCAATAAGAAAAATATATTTCTTCTTCAATAAGAAATCAAATGCCACGTGAAAAATATCATACGACTTTTCCTACCATATTCAAATGGGTGATTCCATTGAATTTAAATGATGGAAAAACTAAACATATTTTTAACTCATTGGACTTGATAAAGGGTTGCTGAAGGTCTATAGAATATCCTTGAAAATGGTATTACTATAGAAGTTGATGGTGTTATAGATGATCGTTTTGAAAATCTCTTTCACCAACTCAGAAGATGCATATTGAATATCTTGAAAGATAGATGCATTATGGTAGATGAACTATCTCACTTCTGAGTATATCAATATCATTGATATGTCTGATGTTTGGACTATCTTTGAAGTCTTGTGCTTGGATTTGTGGGGATCAGTTTGTGAAGCTTGAAGTAGTTACACTTCATCTAATTTTTCCAAGCAAATTCTGAGAGGACTGGTTCTTGACTTAAATCTGAAGTCACATTT